TAAGCCAATATGTCTATTTTGAATAACTATGTCTTTATTTAGGGCATGCCTAGGAGTAATATGCCTTGTGCTCACATTTGAAAGCCTTTAGAAATGGGGTGTTCAAGTCCAACATGCTTTGTGCTACACCCTCAGCCAAAATCAACATCATGAACTCAATGTCTATAAAAGAGAGCTTTAGGATTTTTAGAAGAAACTTTTTATCTTTGGTCATTTTGAGCATCTCTGGGCAATTCATTTTACTTTATCTATCTTTCCTCTACATTAAACCATCAAGTCATTGGCTTATAAACTCATTTTTCTCCAACATCAACAACATCCCTCTTCTACACTCTGAGCAGTATCTCTACAAAATCTGCTAGAGACATTACTTTCCATCATATAGTAGTTTTTCTCCCAAAGCATATCAACTTTAGATATTTGTTGTGTAGTTTACTTTGTTTTCCATGTTTTGATCATGTGTAAATAAATATCCCTTGCCATAAGGATGAGGTGAATACTTTAAATGTAACCCTTTTGAACCCTAGTTTTAAGTTTATGATATTAATATTAGATGTTTATTTTCCTTTACTTTTCTATATTTTTTGAAATGTCCACCCAAAAATTAATCCTATTTAATTAATTAACATATGATTGTATCTTTAACAAGTTAATAGATCTAAGGAATAATTTAATTTTAGGGATCAACAAAATCAATTAATTAAATTACCTAATTCTTCAATATGTTGATTGAATTTAACAAATTTAATGAATATTAACGCTCTTATTTGTATGTGACTATCATTGTTCTATAATCATTATGTAGTGATAATAATTGATTAGATAATTGATAATTACATTAATATAAAATATGTTTAAATTTGGTTGAATATAAGTAGTCAAGAGAAAAATCAAATCCCCAAACTGTTATGATCTGTCTATTTCTTCTTTCCTTATCATATGTATATATTGTTATTGCTTTTAAACTATATTATCTCAAATTTTGAATAATTTAATATTCAGTAAGCATTAGTAATAAGTAATTATGAATATAATCTTTGTGGGAATGATGCTAAAAAAGTTTTAAAATATTTTCTTTTACTACAATTGATAAATATACTTGCTCGTTGGTTGAAAACTATTTGTGTTGGAAGAAAATAGAAGGGGAATAAAGAAAGAGAACAACGCAATAATTTAATATTGTGTGTATATACCTTTGTCCACGGTCACACTAGAAAAATATTTATTGACTAGGAAGTATTTTAAAAACATTACAAAGTGTTACTTATATAGTAACAATAAAGTACAAGTTCCTTAATAATAAGCGATGTAGGAATAAATAAGAATAGGTGACATGAAAATTAATTAGACTACACAATTTTAATAATTCTCTTACTTGTCTCAGTTCCTTATAATCAATGAGCATGCTTTTTACCTAATATAGTGCCTATCCTTAATTATCTCTAATGCCAGTTAAGGTAACGCAAAGTCTTAACTTATTAGTTACAACATACTTAGTCAACATAAGTCATTCTAGCAATTCCTAATTTGACTGTTTTATGTCATATGACTTCTCCTCTGTTAAGAGTTGATATAACTTTCTTCTTATATAAATAATCTTTCATCTATATATTCCAAAATTTGAAGTTTCTGCCATCAAATTTCTCAATTTTTACATTTTTTTCTTCCAACAACATTGCTCTTGCTAACTTTCTCTAAATTGAGAAAATTGTGTTTCCTCTAGACTCAAAAAGCTCCATTGCCTTCTCTAAATTGAAAAAACTTCACACACTGCCTCCTCAAAATTGAAAAAACTCTCACGACTTTCTCTAAATTGAGGCAATGTGTAAAAACTAAATCTTTTCTTATGTTAAAGATTAGACAAAACTATAATTTGAATTTAAGATTTCAATTATATTTTTATTTTATTGTTTATTTATAGTTTAAAATTTTGATAAATAATAAATGTGTAAATTGTTATTTTAGTCTTTGAAATATACAAGTTTATTAAAGTTAGTTTTAAAAAATGAAACAATAAAAACTAATATGATCTATAATTATTAATTTTAGAAATTAAAATTTAAAATGAATTTAAATGATACTGTATATTTCATAAACTAAGGTAAAAGTTTAGTTAATAATAAATTATTATTAAAAAATCAGAGGGGTAGATTAACCGTTCCAATGCATGGCACCAAACGTTGGGCTTCTAATGCACTTGCAATGTTGCTTCCACACCGATGGGCTCCACACTGGGCACGGCCCGCACGTGATCTCCAATCCGTGTGGGACCCTTCTCCACACGCGTCTACTCCCACGCGCCACACTGTGGGTACCAAAGTCAGAGGTTGACTTTTTATACAGTAAAGGAGGCATCAACGTGAGAAGAAGCCACGTTGGTCTCTCTAGTAGTGGGTCTCACACACACCAGCCATACATCGCTAAACGACGCCGTGCAGCTAACCTAAACCCACTCTGACAGTCAACGCCCTTGTCCAATTGTGTCCCCTGATAGGGACTCTATGCTTGTTATTTTTTCTCCTAATTCTTTTTCATTTTTTAAAATCATTTTGCTTTTAATTTAGTTGATTGTGCCCTGTTATGGTTTTGTTTGGATTCAACAAGTCAAAGCCATATAAGACAAACAATTCCCTAACTTTGAAGCAATCCAACAGCTGATTGAGATGAAGGAAGAGCATCGTGAATCTTGTGTGCTTCTGGATCAAATCGTTGCAGGAATAGCCATATTATGATTATTTTATTTGCAGACTTGATAGCACTAATTAAGAGGGCTACATTTTCATTGTCCATTTCTGGGTATGCGAATCATCAATGTTGTGCCTTCGAATTATATATATTTCCTTGCTCATTATCTTTCAAATATCTTTTTACTTTTGTCGAATTTTATTTAAAATTATAAAATTCATGTGAATATCTCTTTTCATGTAACGAGTCTTATTTATATTTTATAATAAATCTTAATCAAAGTATCATGATTAACGATACTTGCACATACAAATTCCCCCGCAAATCCATCGCATTCTTTCAAGTGAGAAAAATTATTATATAATTCTATCGCGATTTAGGTGTAACAGACCAAAAAAACATTGATATGTGATTAATTATGCTAGCGTTAGGAACATTTTTTAGACAGCAAATATAAAGAAAATACTGTCAATTTTCTTAACATCTAACTTAAGTTAATTTAACATCCACTTAATCTTCTCTTACTTCAATCGTGGTAGTTAAATTAGTTGATTAAAGTAGGTAATCATTAAATTAATAACATATCAATAATTTAGTGCATCCAGCTTGGGTCAAATTACTGTTGCTGATGAAAGAATGCAAGTCAAATTCTAAGCCGTGCCATCAAGGGTAAGTGCAGAAATCAACAGAACAATATAGAAATTTTTTTAATACGAAATTTCAAATTAAAACAGCTTTAAAAGTAGATGATTTTGAAGGATAAGAAAATGAAAAAAAAAAAGAAAAGTTAATATAAAATCCTCCAAATTAGAGGAGTCTAAGAGTTCATCAAAGTCATGATTTTTGAGAGTTTATAAACCTTTTTCTTTCTTATATAAAATTTTTAAAATAAAAAGTTATATCACATAAGTTTTTTTCTTCGCTCCAATTTTTTTTTGAAAAAAATAGATAAATCAATTCTAGAACAAAAGTTTAGCTTTTGTCATAATTACTATTGTTGAGGAATTGCTACAATTTTTTAAGGTTTTGTTACTTACATTCTTTTACTTACTATAATTACTTTAACTGTTAGGATGAACTGAAAAATCTATCGGTATTTATTCTTCCCCCAACATCTTATGTACATATAGATAACAAAGAAGGGGCAAGTTCACTGCTTTAAATGTTTTGTTTCCAACGAATCAAAATCGAATTCAAACTCGATTTAATTATGGGGCTAAGATTCGATAACTTTCCTTATGTTACTTTTTCATGGGGAGAATCGTACTTTAGTAAGTAACCTACCGTTTCATCTATAGTAGCAAATAAATAATTATGCAAACTCAACTACCCTGATAAATATTTCTGCTAAAAAAAAGAAACTAAAAATGAGTGACAAGGGTCGAAGAATATCTTAAAAATATTTTCAAGATATATGATAAATAATTCTTTAAGGTTGACTCTTGCTTTAGTTGAAATGGGGTCTCCAAGTAGCTTCTGTCTAATGTGATGCATCTATCCCATCATGTAACAAGACAAAATAAACATTTAAATGAAAACACAGCCTTCACGGACCAGTACTATATTAAATTTTAAAAATGTCAAAGCCAGCATATGTCATGTTTGTATGGACTCCAACCTTTCAATTCCCAAAAGTAATCTAAAAGCATAGCCATATATCAAATTGAACAACATCATGTAAAACAAAAAAGGAGAGGGTGAAAAAGTGTCATTTCAAGAAGGAATAGAACTAAAACTTGTTCCACTTGCTTGCAACCAATAACAATGCTGAAGATCCCATTTAGGAAATGTTTCAAAGAGTTTATAAATAGTTTATAGTTATTTCTATAAGTTTCTTAATATAATTTATTAAAATATTTTTTTAATTTTTTTAAATAAATTTTATTTTTAAGATTTATAACATGAATTATAATTTTAAAAAATATTTAATAAACGTTTAAATAAAATGTGTATCCACTTTTAGTAAATTACCATACTACAAATGCAAAGCAGAGAGAATGGCCCCATCAAATTATGAGGTGGTGAGGGATGACACATTTTGCAGTTAAACAGCGATGTTACTACATTGTTTGGAATAGAAATCTCCAAGGAAGTCAAAGTAGAATACATACAAAAACATGGCCACAACTTGGTTTACTTATTAAAGTCAAGGAGGGGGGGGAACACGTATACGTCACAACCACCTCTTTATCTGCTCCACTCTTTCCTTTCTCATAAGCCTGATATCTTCTTCACCTTCCTCTTTCAACTCCTAAGAGAATCTTGTTGGTTTTGGCCTAATAAATATGGTTGAGTCAGCCATGTCAAAGACAATGATGATGGAGGAAGTAATGGCAACATGGTCAGATGGGTCAGAAGATGACCTTGTGAAAGAGCTTTTGGATGACGGGTCTCCTCTAATTATGCTGCCAGAGGAACCTATTGAAGCCTCCAACATAAGAGCTTCTTCAAGTGACCAAGTCTTTAATAGGTTCATCTCCAACATTTACTCAGGACCTACCATAACAGATATTGAAAATGCTTTGTCAGTGACCAACCAAAGAGACCACTTTCAACAACTCTCATCAAGCAGGTATAGAATTTCACTCACTTTGTTTTTTCTATGGTTTACTTGTAATTTTATACAGCTTGAGTTTCCTATATTGGGCCACATTTGATGGATGTTTCTGTTTCATTTCATTTCAGAGTTTCCATATTGGAAAGGGGTTTGAGTAGGATTGAGAATAAGTATACCCTGAAAATCAAGTGCTTTGGAAATGGGATGGGTGATGATGGATATAAGTGGAGGAAATATGGACAGAAATCCATTAAGAATAGCCCAAATCCTAGGTAAATTCTTTCTTCCGTTTAACTTATATTTGAACATTCACTTTTGAATTTCAGTTTTTCACATATTATCTTGTAAGATAGCTGCAAAGATTTTCACAAATAAGTCCAGTTATGCATGTCCAGTATTTCAGCAGTACTTCAAGGACACTCTTTTCACACATCTTTCGTGTGGTTGGTCTATTTTTTAAAAAGTCAAACCAATTTTAAAAAGTGATCAATTTATGAGATAAGTATTATAACTTTTTAAAAAGTAGACTAATTATGTAAAATATGTTGAAAAGTATATTTAAATGTGTTTTGTTAAAATTTGTCTTGCTTCAAAGATCTATAAATTAAATTTTGAACCATTTTTATTCTCTAACTGGAGAATGGAGTGTAATTCTATGGCTTCCTTGCCATGACATGCATCCACTTACTTCAACAGTCTTTTTGATTCCCTTCAAACAGATAATACCATTTAGTAATTTTGCCCCACACCCAAACCTAAAACATGCCAATCAATTAGAAGGCCCACATAAATTCATAGGTTTAGAATACTAATATGTTAAGTAATTAATTATTGATTACCAACTAGTGGGATTTTCAGAATCGGTTTAATGGGGCTCTTTGTCGTTATATCCAACATATGTACATCTGATAACTCTACGATGTGTAATAGAGATGATACAAAAAAAGTAAGAGATGAGGAATATTTACACGTCAGTATGTTTCCTACAGTATTCATGTCATAGCCATAGATATTGCAAATTGGGTTGACAGTGGCGTAGAGAATTTACTTAGCTAGGTCTAGGTACATCTAAAACATTCAACTTTTCATTAAAACCTAGCCATCTTGTGTTATAATTTGTGAGACACCTATTCATTGATCCATATTATCCGACAAATCTAAGTATTAAGATTAAACCTACTTTTATAGGCTAAAACATGGATCACAGCTTTTCTATATATTCGTCTAAATATCATGCCAGCTTTCATGCCAACTCAAACAACTATCAAGCAACAATATGAGAAGTCTCTTAGTTAAATTTTACATTACAAAAAATTTGGGCCTCTATTTTCTTATATATTATATAAGTAAGACCTAATCAATATTTGTATATTTTTTTTATGAAGATGTATCCCGAAGCTACTACGAAGATAAATTTCCTTGAATATACTTTTTAAAAAACTAATTTTTTATTTGTAAAAGTTGATTTACATGTTTGGAGTTGACTCACACTAAAAAAAATGGAGTTGGGTTAGATAAAAAATAATAAAGCTCTTTTTAATGAATTTTAATATCATGACATTCTTAAGACCTCTAAATTTAATATTATTACTTAAACTAAAACAACTTTTAGTGACGAATCTGCATGCTTAGTAGAATATGGGGTGGTGATTTAATCCATTTATTTACTAATTATCAAATTCATCCATTTATAAATCCAACTAATCTCTTCCAATAAAAAAGCTAAAAATTGATTAATAGGTTGAATTTGATTATCGTTTGTTACCGGATAAATAATAAGTTATTTAAACTTTTTGTAATCTATTAAATTAAATAATTCAAAATCTATTTGTTAAGAATAAGTCTTAATTAAGAGATGAGTCTAAGTCTCTATAATGTGTATAAATATTAAATTTTATTTTTATAAAAATATTTTTGAAAAAAAAAATATAATATAATTACTTTAAATGGATAGGTTGGATATCTACAAAAAAAAAATGGTTAATAGACGGGTTGAATGATTTTTATTAAAAAAGTTATGGAAGGATTGAATTTTTTTTCATGTCTTTAATGGATCAAGAATGAATTAGTAATTTATTTTTACCACCTATTAATATTTAATTTAAAATTTATATAAAAATTAGTGCAAATGAAAGAAAATCCTTTACATATGACTCGGAGGAGGTTTTAGAGGAAAAAAGAGAAAAAAAATAACATTTTTAAATTTTAAATTAAAAAATTATATATTATTTACAATAATAAATATATAATTAATATATTAAATTGATGTCAATCCTACAAAAATCTTCATTCCTATGCAACCATTGAGTGCCTTGTCTCCTTTTCAATACCCTGTCAAATTTGGGTAAAAGCTACTCTGTAACGGGGTTGATTAGTCAACCCCCTAATATAGCATATGACAACAATATGCCTCTAGAGTTAGCAGACAATTAATCCGTTCAACTTAATTACATAGTACAGAATTTAATTAATTATTGCTAATTTTGATGTGATGGAACGAACAGGAGTTACTACAGGTGCACCAACCCAAGGTGCAGTGCCAAGAAACAGGTTGAGAGATCCAATGAGGACCCTGACACTCTTATCATAACCTACGAAGGCCTTCATTTGCACTTTGCTTACCCGTATTTCCTCATGACCCAACCTCAGCAATCTAATTCCCATCAACCAATCAAAAAGTCCAAGCCCACTTCTTCACAAGACCAAGCCCTAGACCATAAAGCACGTTATGTTCACCAAGACCAGCATACACAAGAAGCCCATGAAAATGCTACTCTGGGCGTGATGTTATCCACTTCATTGGACTCTCCACAAGACATGGCCCATGAAAATTTGGGCTCACAAGGATTGCTTGAAGACATGGTGCCATTCATGGTAAGGAACCCAGCAAGTAATGTTGATAGTGCTGTCACAAAATTTTCATATTCTTCGTACCGTTCTCCGCCAACATCACCTCTGTGGACTTCTAATTATTCCACCTCCTGTTTTACTGTTGGCTTAAATTCCAGCACTTAGTTTATAATTATGTATAGTTAAAGATTTAGAAAATCAATAAATTCTCGGGTGATTTTATAATTGTTTTGCTTATTTGGATTTAATAATATAATGTAACAGTATAGTTTTTATGTCACGAAATCAAAGGAAAGAAAAGGATCTCATATTTTATTGTCAATTTTTTATAATAAAATAACCATGATCATTTCATTATAAATGTATTTTAGAAATGATTTATATAAAGTAAAATTTAATAGTTCTAACATTATCTATATCAAGTTAATATTTTAAGCTCTGTATTTTATTATTAATCATGTTTTGTTAGTTAATACATTTGAGAGAGAGAGAGAGAAATTTGTTATACACTTATGTAAAGTGTACCATTGAGCTGATCAACTAATTAGTTCAAATTTTAAAATAATTTATATAAAAAATGTGTAATTTTAGAATAATATATTTGTTGTAATCATTTTTATTATACGAAATATAATGTCTAATTCATAAATTTATATAGTGCCAAAATTTTACGTCATATCATGACTGACATAATATTAAGAATTAAGTAAAGTTATACTTTAGTGTATTAGAGAGTAATAGTTACGCATACTAGTTTTTTACTTTTTAAAAATGTTCTATTATTATATATTATGACAATTTGTCAGGCAGTTAGGTCTCTAATGTTAATGAACATTTGAGAAACATTAACTTTTGTGAATACGTCACATAAAATAATATCTAAAATACAAAAATAATGTCATTTCATATCACGTGAGAAAGTAATCAAAGTGATTTGACTTAATGATTAACATAATATTTTTTTAAAAACTAATTACTAAAATAAATTAAAATCCAAATTAATTTTCTATTTGGGACAAATTTTGATCACGTCAACCATGATTTCGTATTTGAGCTAAGCAAAATTATTTTTTATTTTTTATTTATTGAAATAGTCTAGAATAGGGATGAAACACTTGTAGCATAACATGTGGTGTTAATTTCGTATAAAACTGGGACGAAATCACAAGATACATGTGTCAGAATCTCAATAAATTCGTATCAAATGTGGACGAAACCACATGACACTGACACGTGTCTTAATTATGTTAAATTCATCTGCATATTGGACTAAACCACAGGATGTTGACACGTGTCTAAATCTGGTAAATTCGTCTCCATATCAGACAAAACCGCAGGATGTTGACATTGTCTAGATCCTGGTAAATTCGTCTCTATGTTAGACAAAATTACAGTTTTACCCATCGGTCCCTCCCTTACCACTGCACCCAAATATCCAGCAAAATTTTAGTATGTGAAGCATGCAGATGAGATTCAGATTGAAGTGCAGAAGGGTTTGTAAACTTTCAAAGAGTTGAAGAATTTTCAGATTAGTAAATTTTGGAAACTTTTATGAGTTTTTATGTTATTGGTAAATTAATAAAATTATAATTTTTTAATAACTAAAATAAATAGAGGTAGTTAAAATTTATGAATATTTAGTAAATATATTTTTGTGCATATGGAAATAAAAATTTAATTATTTAAATACTGTTAAAAAAATATAGAAGTTATTAGATAGTTAATATTAAATTGTGTAATAAATAAACATGATGTTATATATTTGTTGTAATATAAAATAATATGAAATGTAGTAATATGTTTGCATATGTTAATAATAATTTAAATAAATAATTTATATAAATAAGTATAGTTATAATTGTTTATTGATATTTTTTTTTTTTTTTTATAAATGTAGGATGAGTGAGATTATTATTATTGTATATTGGAATGGAAAAATTGTTAGAAACGAAGGTGTGACATTTGAAGGTAACAAAAAAAATGATAAAGATAAGAAGAAGAATAAGTTTTATGAATTAAAAAAAAGATTCATGACAAGTTGAATCTTAGTAAAAATTATTTCATATCCAAAATAATTTCTCGTTTTATGATTGATTCAAGCGCTAAATAATATACTGCATTGGATATATCTGATGATGAAGACATTGATTGTATGATTAGTCCATATCAATAACAAAGTATTACAACTGTTATTGAATTATATGTGGATATTGCATTTGGTGAGAGTTCAAGAGTTGAGTCAAATAGGTTGGACTTAAGCTTATCAATGTCACCGCCTAACCTTATGGAAATGGAGAATATAAATATTACAACAGGTATAAATTATATTATAATTTTAAATTTGCTTATATTTAGTGACTACACATATTGAATAAGTGTATGTATTTTGAAGGATGTGCAGAATTAGGCACTTATGAAGATGAAATCAATAGTGATGATGATGATGATGATATTGATGAAGGACATATTCCGTTAGACAGCACATTTGATACAAATGTAGATGGTAATTTTGATTCGAACTTAAATTTACAACAAGAAAATGTTGGAGGTAATATTTATAGAGTATATTGATTAAATGAATCATCTTTTTTAACGATGAATAATGTCTGTTTATATATAGTTGTAGGTGAAATACCTTTTTGGAATATAAGTCCACACTACAATTATATTAATTGGGACTACTCATACCAAGAAATTGAAGCAGAAGAAATTAGTGATGACAATTTATGGGTTATTGGAGATCCTTTATATGTGGATTTATTATTTGACTCAAAAGAGGAAGTTAAAAATGTCTTAAAATAGCATGCAATAAAGATACACCAAAGTTATTTTGTTGTTGAGTCAAAACTAACAAAGTTATATGTGAAGTGTTTAAACTATAACAATGGTTGTCCTTGGAGAATAAGAGCATCATTGCTTAAAAATGCAACAAAGTGGAAAATAACAAAGTGTGGGGGTAAGCATACATGCCTCAACCTAACAATATCTCAAGATCATACCAAGCTAGATTTAGATTTAAATTGTTCATGCATCATTGGTAAGTTTTGCATAAAATCTAATTTCGTGAAGCATTTTGACAATAAAGGGACTTACCTCTTTTTTTTCGTTGTTTTGTAGGTATGGTTAATCTTGAACCATCATTGCCTATAAGCTTAATACAAGAAAGGATGACAAGTCAATTTGGATATAAAATTTCATACAAGAAGGCGAAACAAAAGGCGATTGTAAGAATATTTGATGACTGGGATGAATTATATGCTACATTGCCAAGATAGTTAGAGTACATGCAATTTCATACTCCAGGTATTGTTTATAAGATTGAAATGAAGCCATTTGTTGTTGGGCATCAGGAGGACAACAGATTTAGAGTATTTAAGCGATTATTTTGGTGTTTTCATCAATGTAAGGAAGCATTTAACTTTTGCAAGCCCATTGTTCAGGTAGAAGGAACATTTTTGTATGGTAAGTATCGTCACACAATATTGATTGCAATGACACAATATGGGAATAATTGTGTCCTACCACTTGCTTTTGCAATTGTTGAAGGATGTGAATACCGATTTTTGCCTTTCTCAGATTGCCTCCAAAATTAAAAATAATAATAAAAATAAAAATAAAATAATAAAATCGTTTTACAAAAAATAGAAAATGTTTGAAAAATGATTTTGGTTCCAGAAATGAAAGTCCTGCGCTATGCAGGCTCATACCCAGCATCAAAAACCGATTTAAGCATGAAAAAGGAAAAAACTCAGATTTTTGGCATTTTGTATAAATCCTAAATGACCCATATAAATACACAAGGAAGAAATCCGGAAGAGGGGGCTTTTCAAAAACGAAAAATTAAGAGAGTGGCAAAATCTTTTAAAAAGATTTGAGGAGGACAACCATTTTTAGGGAAGGGGAAGAGATTGGTAAGCAGCACATTTTTTTTTTAGAAAATTTGAGAGATTTGAGAAAAGGAAAAACTAATTTTCAGAAAGGGAGTGAAAAATTTTTAGAAGAGGCAGCAAATCTTTTAGAGGAGATAACGAATTTCTTTGAAGGAAGATCTAAAATAAAAGAAGGAGAAGAAAAGAAAAGCGATTTCTACCATTCTGTTATCTTCTATTGCTGGGTTCAGGTACTGTCTTTTCCTCTTAGCATACGCCTTACATTTATTTGTTGCTGCTATGACTTGATTTTTTTGCTATGCGTGGATGGGAAAAGTGAGATAAGAAGAGATGCCTTACATTTATTTGTTTCTGCTATGACTTGATTTTTTTTTGCTATGTGTGGGTGGGGAAAATGAGATAAGAAGGGATGCCTTACATTTATTTGTTGCTGCTATGGGTTGATTTTGTTGCTATCTATGTATGCGAAAATGAAAAAAGAAGAGATGCTCGGTGTATTTATTCAATAGCTTTGGTTTGTTTATTTATTTAAAAATTATAACATAACGTTAAAAAAAAATCATATCAAGTCAAGTTTTGATTTACGTTACCCTTTTTTTTTTAATCTAAATGATTTAATAACAAATATTAATTAGAAATAAAAAATTGAAAATATTAAATAAAATTGGCTGATTAAACTTAGCGCTATTATTTTACTTATTTTATTATTATTATTAGGCATTTATTATTATTATTATTTTACTTCAAATTTCTATTTTATTTTCCTTTAAAAAAACATAAGATTCTTATTTCTCATATTTATTTATTTTATCTCAAATGCAATATTTTACTATCTATTTATTTTTGTTATTTAGTTTTTATTTTTATTCTTATTCTTATTTTATTTATTTTTTAATTTTATTTTTACCTCATTTATTGATTGTTTTAATTAGCATAATAATAAGAAATTATTATAGTTGACTTAATCTTAACATGTATTATTTATTTTGCTATTTCATCATTTGCATCTTTATTTATTTATTTTTTTATGTATTTATTTTTATTATTATTCATTGTATTATATAATTTTGAATATTTGATGATGAAGAAATAATATTTTCAATTTAACAAGTAAATAATATAATATAATATTTAGATTAATTTATAGCATCAATGTGTAGCTTTTTAACCGTTGTATGTTATAAATTGATAAAGTGTATGTGTACTTATATTACCGAGACTTTAAGCAATATTAAGTTATCTTTAATTAATTATAAAATTATATTAATCATCAAT